CCTCCTTCCTGAGAGGGATTACACCTACTGTAATAAATGTAAAGGCACATCATCTAACAGAGGAGAGCGTGGGCTTTTCCTGTTAGCATTTTTCAATTTAGAACTGCACAATTGCTAGCCTACATTTCCCATGTGAGTTTAACTTCATAGATTTCCTCTTCTGCAACTTTTCCCACACTTACTACAGTTATCTCAAAACCTGCCTGTGGAGTCTATGAGCACCCAGTATTTTTCCAACCAGCTGTTTGGGGACTTCCGAGCACTGCTACAATACAGCAACTATAGAACACCAAAGGCAGGTGGCAAGTGCCACATTACCAGGGGCATTTTTTTGACCGAAAGAGATCGGAATACCTACCAGAGCACTACTCCTTTGTAAACTATATAACATTTTATTGTAAGCTAAATACTTTACAAGGCAAATACAAATCTCACCAACATTTATGCTTTTGAAAAATTACCCCATGTTACATATGTTGTCAGGAAGAGTTGGGCAATCGACCAATAATGATTCAGCTGTCCCATAAGAGAGCCTGAGAGAAGGGACAAAACGACAGTTTGGAGATGGGCCTCATGCACCACTGGGAAACTGCAATTTCACTTCATTTGGGCCTGGACTCCAGTTTATGTTCAACAGACAGCCTTAAAACTTGTTAAGCTCTTAACCATCATGAAAGAAGAAATTAATTCGACAGGGAACAATATATTCCTTCTTAAAATATTCATAAAAATATTTACTTTCAAGGTTTTTTCCCCTTACAATATTCAGGTAATATTTTAGCAGGACAGTCCTGGCTCTCACCCACAAGTGAATTAGGGCTTTATTACTCCCATAAACTGATTTCAAACCACACTGGATCACCCCAAGAGTTCCTTCCCAGAGGATATAGTTTCAGAACTACTTCCAGAGACTTGAACTGCTTTCTCTATCAGGAAAAAAATAATATTTCTGTAATGGACCAACCCTTTTTCAGATATGTTGATATCTGAAGGATGTTCGCTGTGAGCATTTGGGAGCTGGCATGGCTCCAAAGGCTCCACGTATTTTCAAAGGGACGTTGCCTGTAAATTTAACCCATTAAAACAAAAGTGCATGGCTGGAAAAGTATAATACATGTTTAAAAATCAAACTGTGATTCAAACACAGCTATACTACCTGCACCAGTGATTTGGTACTGTCACTTCACAAAGAGAAAAGACAACAGGTTTTAATTCTATGACCAGCCTGCATTCTTGCACACCAGATGAAAGAGAACAATAGAACATGACCGAATGTGAGAAAGCACCAAACTGCAATGGCTTTTTGGGTGGGGGTGGACATACTACACATACTGCAAAAATCTAATAATTCTCCACCCAAGCATTGCTAGTGAGTGACCTCACTGGTTTCCTACATATACTCCAGCAGTCTTCCTGCCATCACTCTGTTGAGCCAAGCAATGATGTCAACAGTCCACCTGTGAGAGTGATGTAGCCCTCTGGGTCATGGTCGCAGAGAACTTGGATAAAAGCTGTGCCAGTGTTAATTAAATGCACCTCTTGTTTCACTGCTGATTTCCTCTGATAAGGCTCAGCTCATTTTTCCTGGAAAGACTTCCATGCTGCAAGGGAACCAGAGCCAACCATAACACAAAACAAATATTGCTTAGAGAATATGAAGACAACATACTAAATATTTAGTTAAAAAAAAAGAAAAAGAGAAAAAAAAAAGATTGCCTATCAGTGCTGGGGTAAATATAAATCTAATTAATTTACATGTGCTAATAACAAGGTTAAACTACAAATGCTAGTTACTGCAGGTGGTTTATCTTTCAGTAGTACTTATCTCTTCCATTTGTATTGCTCTTCCCAATTAAATTGGAGTAGGATTCTAACAACCTGCTTTAACACTGATAAGTTCTGACATGCTAGAGTGTGAGCAACTTGCCCAATAAAAAATATGCTCTGAGAATGGAGTTTGGCATTTAACATCAAAATTATCACTACAACTTTAACAAAGGTGTTGTCCGATAGCATTTATTCTGCCATCAGAAAGGTCTTAGCTGTAAGAAGGCTCTAAACAGCTTAGATATGAAGGATCTTTTTCCACGAACACAATTAGCCAGTAAGTAACAAAAGAAAAAAATATATACTGCTCCTTCTTTTTTTTCCTATATAAAGAAATCTAATCCACTGTCATGACTGGATGCTTTCATCATACACTGTCACCAGGATTTCTGTAATCCGTCTACTCACAGCATCTGATCTCCAGCCACTGTAAACCTTCAGGACATGCCCTTTTGTACTGGCTTTGGTTTTGTAGACATTTTCAGATAGCTTTATTAGTAAGAGAACCATCAAAGGAAGACTTTCAGTTTAGAACCTGACAACAAAAATATTCCTTCTTGCACAACTTGAAAAGTATCACTAGCCCTAAGATTTAATTGCTAACAGCAACACACACAAAAAATCTGAAGGTGGCAAAATAGAAAAGTGATCTCAAAAGTAGTGGTACAACTCTATTATGAGACTTGGTTTCCCAGTGATGACAACCGTCAATTCTGAAATGCAGCAAGCTGGACATTTTGCCATAAATTTTATTATAGAGAAAGAATTGTATGGGAAGGATATTAGGAATACATTCATATTCATTCATTCATTTTGATTTGTGGTAATTGTGAAAGTTCCAAGGAGTGTTCTATCCTACATTCCTGAACGTTAGCAATATTTTCCAAACAACCAATGATAGATGTCTATTTAGATTTTTAGCTCTTGGCGATCTTATGTTTATAGAGTACCTTGCCCTACAAACTCTCTTGAAAGACATAACACTAAGAGTATACTGCCTACCCTTCCTGATATGGGAAAAATTCCATGGCTGTACTACCTCTCACCAAAGTCAGTGCAACTAACTTGGATGTATTTTTTACAATATCTCTCAGTAAGAAATCCCATACATAAAACGTCCTTCATAAGAGCAGTGTTTTTTTGGTTCTAGGCGGAAACTGAAAATGAGAGGTAATGCTTGAACTTGTTTGGTTTATACTGCTCCTATGGACAGTTCCTATGGATTTATGAGACTGAACTGCAGCTAGTTTGTATTGAAGCGTGCAGAGTGTGACTCATTCAGAAAGCTCAACCCAAGAACATTTCACTCTGACATCCTACAGAATAGCTCCCTCATGGATTGGAAGTAGTTGCTGCCCATTCTTCACGTTCGTTCCTCACAACTTTATGACACACAACTTACAGTACAAACTTGAATCCAGGCCATGAAGGAGATACTAGAACTTCTGACAAATCTCATTCTGTCACCAGTAACTGGAATTCGGTCTTACACAATTTAAATACACAGCTGTGCTCCACTTCTGGCACATAATGTGGCCATGCAGAAGGAAAGCATATCCCCAAGTCCAGTGAGTTAGAGTGACACAGTTTCCTGAACTCCAGGAACTCTCCTGGTCAGAAAGTACTTCCTTCCTTGTTTCAAACAGTTGATTGTTTCAGAGGGAATTCAAAACAATAGATTAGAAACTTTCAACCTTTCTAAGTGTACTGCTACACAAGGAAATCAGGCCATGCTCTGGAAAGATAAGATAACATTGGGAGAGTACTCTTTCCGGAAATGCAATGGCTTTTGCATCCCTTCTCTAGCACCATCCAATGAATCAGCTATACACAAGCAATACTTCATTCTATGAGATGTCACATGCAGTTCAGCTACTGTTTGGAATAAGATGTGCAGGACTGACAAAAGGCATGAGCTAACTAGCTTCCCAGCAACTTTGATAAGGCAAGACAGGGAAGAAAATATCAGTAGTTTCCTAATCTAACCCTGTACTTTTAAGGACAGGTAGGAAGAAAGAACGACAATTGCCTCTATTTAGCACCTCATTGTTTAAATCTCTAAAAAAGAAGAAAGAATGTGCTGCTACTTCTGCAGTTAGAAATCTCTCCTTTTCCACCATCACCTAGTTTTACAGAACCAGCAGAGATGTTCACAAGGATTGTGAATAGATCAGGCTCATCAGCTAAAAAGCAATCATTTTAATTGTATACTTTTTCCTAACAAAATTCCTTTCATCTAAATACATTATAATGCTTTGTAATAATGGATGAAAAATTTAACATTTAGAATATAATCATATCACTGCAGTTATTTACAGGCTGCAATTCAAATAAGGAAAGGCAACAGACAAGTAAATAATTTTTTCTGCAGCATTAGGGTGGCTAAGTATTCTAGACTAATTGAAAAACATCAGAAACAGAACCAATGGCACGAGCCTTTCTCTCAGACGCTGTCTGACACGATATTACATTTTCCTAATTCTCTTTTCGTATCAATGTAGAGCTACAAAAAATGTGAGGATAAAATCACTATAAAACCCCAAGAACTCACCTGGTTATACACGTTATTTTTAGAGACAAACAGGAAATGCACTTCCCTGTCAAGCTGGGTCAAAGGAAGGGGAGTGATTGAGTTGAATACACTGCACTCACCGTTCCTACCAAAGGGTAGATGAATCCAGCTCCAATACTGGCTCGCACATCACTAATCGGCAATATGAAACCAGTGGGAACGCCCTTCCTCTCAGGCTGATGGGAGAGGGATAGGTGAGTTTTTGCCATACAAATGGGAAGATTTCCAAATCCCTAACAGAAAAGGGAAAGAAAATAATCAAAAAATGCTTTTCAAATTACAGTAAAGACATAATACGTTTTAACTTTGTTATCAGTATCTTCTAGTAATCAAAAAAATACATATAGCAATAGTTAAACTCAGTTTCTTAACTGCTGATATTTCAGAAATGGACAGAATACTGTACTTTGCATGCTATTCTCTCTCAGCTCAGGCCTCTATCTCCAGAGATTTGGCTCTAGTGATGTCCAGCTTCTAGACTGGCTTCTCAATCTACAGTTAGGTGCAAATTTGCCTATACTATGGCTAGTGTGCTATTGTCAGAAAGGGTGCACAATGGCCAGCGTAATGAACAAGAACTGTACACCAACTCAATAAACTCAGTACAGCACTTCCCTCTGGATTCTAGTGACCTACTTGGATCTGAGAATAGGATTCATAGTCCAAAGCTCTTTAAGAGTGCTAATGTCTTCTTGGGAGTAAACACAGAAGTCTCATGATGCTTTGGTTTGTTTTTAAACAAGACAAAACCCTACGCGAAGCGATGGCACCCTCTCCACTAATGACAGTGCAATAGCTACTCAAAAAGTGGTAGAAAAGCAGGGGAAGGCCCTCAGCAGCTCCCCCAACACTGTTTGTGTCCCAGGTTATTGATCAGCCTTGACACAGGCACATTCTACTCTTCTGTTCAATTCCCTGACAAACAGGGAGGAAACTGCCTCTGCAGCCCACTGCTGATGACAATCCTTTAATGACATTGTGAAATTATTTCCTAATATCACTAATGTTTAGACAAAAAAATGGGTTAGAGAATCACAGCAGGAAGAGATCAAGAAATGGACTATTTTGCTTCAAGTACACTAAGTAAGCTTCTTATCCATCTAGAAAATCAAACTAATCCTCAGGAGGTTTGTGTACGAGAAGTCGGCTATACTTCTGCCTGTTTGACCAGGCTGCTGAAGTATACTCAAGAATTTTTCCATGACACATAGTCCATAGCTTCTATTTTCTGACAGGAAGGCTCCAGCCATGTTTACATGCAGAAGCTGTTCCATTACAGAAAACACATTCACCTCTCCACATGGTTTCAAAACTGTTTTCAAACTGTAACAAAGCCCACTCCCACATGCTTTAGGAACGGTGATCTATTTCACCTTTTAGCATCTATAGTCCATTGAAAATAGTAGGAATGGAAGGAAAACCAAACATTTTACATGTATTGGGAGCTTTTTTATTAACACACATAGCTGCATGCAGATCTTTTTATGTTTGCAAACTAATTTTTTGCAGGTACAGATGAACACTCATACTAAAACTAGGCAAATTCACTAGCTGCTACTTTTGCAGATGTGCATTTGTCACATTTAAGGCAGTAATCCAAAATTACCCCTCTGCATAGAAAGTACAGAGTGTCACCATAATCTCTGAGTGATTCCAAACACCATACATCTCTAGCAGGAGATACCTTTCAAGGTTGAAACCATTCTATTCTATCTAATCTAATCTAAACCAATCCCTACTGATACCATAGGTAAACTCACGCCTGTTAGCAAAGCTTGACTAAACATCCCAATCTGAGAACCTTCTACACCCTGATGTTTCCTAAGACTCTCATCCAGCAGATACCTGACTGCATAATTCACTCATATTCTTACCTGCCGGGTGTAACGATCAACTTGTGACTGTGCAGCAGGAGACAACTCTATATCCTGAGCTCCATACACCTTCTGAGCAATGATCCTTATTTTTTCAACAATAGGAAGCTGCAAAGACAAGGAAACAACACAAGGATGAACATTAGCCAAGAGAAAGTAGGATCTTGTTTGCTAAGTGAGAAATCTGAATCTCTCATTTAAATTGATCTTTGTTAAACAAGCTTGCTAAAGCATAAAAGCAAGTAAAGGGCACAGGGTGATCGATACAATATTCAGTGACAGGTACAGGAATTACAACCATCAATTAGGGCCTGCGCAATTCATGCATTACAGAGTTGACAACATGAGCTTACACTCTCGCCTAAGTGTGGAAGAAAATTACTGCCATGTAGTTTTAAAGATCAAGAGTCAGTGCACACTACAGACACAAGGAAGCAAGCTCCACTGGGTTAACAGGGATCACTAGACAAATAAATTTCATTTTACAATAAAGATAATCTATACAATGAGTGGACAAGGCAACGTAGCAGGCAGCCAAGGAAGTTTCCTTGGAGAAGCACGAAATTGTAGCAGAATTTCTTGCTTCTCCTCATTGCTCCTTTGATCATAGTATTTTTATTTATTTTTATTCTCACCTCCTATCCTTCCTATATATGTATTTTGAATTCTAGCATTGATGTTGTAAAGCACTTTGGACAGTTAAAAAAGAATAAATATGAAAGCATTCTAGGATACACTTTGAAATCACAAGACACTAAGCTCAACCCCTGTCTCCATGGGTATCCACACCCACATCACGTTATTCAACTCAAACTGAACACGTTCTGGCTTTATAGCTTCTATTTAAAGGTAGATGTAGACTCTCACATTCGAGCCAATAGAAACCTTTTCACAGATTTCCAGCAGACAGGTTATTTTTGTGGTCAAACCAGGCATACATTTTTTCGTGCCTTCATTTCTGTTTATGTAGCATAACAATGCCTTCCTCTTTCTCTCCTCTGGTCTTGAATGACCTTGGAGAGAGCAACTGTCACCCATATGGCCTATTTTAAACAAGCAATCCTCTTTGACTACTTCAATAGGAACAGGACGATGAAGGAAGTATCATTCCACCAGCACTGACCACAGATGGCCAGAGATGTGTGCAATACTCCAGGGAACATCCCATCAGTAACTGGTACTCTAGCATATTTAATTAACAACACATGTAGAAGAAGTGTTGAACAAAATCTAAAGACATGTCGCTTGGGGAAGAAGACTTGATAATCTAAAACAATACAAGATGCACAAGAACTCAAAATAGAAGTATTTCATTTTATTCCAACAAAGGCAAGGAACTGGTTATGAATAACAAACTCTATCTATCTGGTGCATTTACAGGAAGTTCCACAGTTAATCACATTTTTGCAATGCCTGTCTAGAAGTAATAGGTTTTCTGCAAAGACACATCAGTTGAAGGACTTGTGTCAGACTGACCTTTTTTGTATTTATGATTGAATTTTAGAAAAATTAAAGTTTAAAGTAGTCTGCCTTTACATTAATAACGTAATCCAGTAACAGAGACATCACAAGAAAAGATGCTTGACAGACTTTTGAGTAACTTCAATATAAGACAGTTAAAAGCTAGTAAGGCTCAAATAAAATCCCTCCTCAGACAGGAAGCTTCAAAGTGAGGTTTAAAGATGTTCCACAAGACGCTTTCTGGATGTACTGACTATATGAGTATTGCACCTCAATTGGGTGGAATGATGTCATGTTCCTGACTTCAGGCTTTTTAAAGGAATCCAAGCAGTACAAAAAAATCTAATGCGGGTTGGAGATAATGCATTGCAAATATCCTGGACATAATTCCTGGCAGCATTAAGCTAAATGGATATGGATAGCTGTCACGAGATGAAACTTCTCTCAGGTTATTAAATATATTCATACCCATGGCAGTTTTGAACACAGTGGTAGAAGTGCAAAATATGTCTGTTAACTTGCTTTTTGAGTGCTGTTTGCTTGATGGCCAGGACTAACAGCAACAGCAAAGGCAAAAGGAATTCTGCTCTTCGCTGTCAGTAGGCTAACATCAAAACTAACAGCTTTCTGTTTAAACCTCAGTAAATTCATTGAGATGGAGATGCTCATTTAGATTCAACTTGTATTTGTGTCAAAATATTTCAAACTCATTTGACAGCAGCATAATAACTATGCCCTCAGCTCCAAACAAAACCCAGCAGAGCTTTGGCTAACATCACAGGAGACTGCTTTAACGACAGTGGTGGCATTCTGCTCCTCCTGGGCTTTGTGCAATACCTTGCACGACTGAGTTGAGCTGGGTAGTCAAACTGTACCCCTACAGATATTTCTTTTAACCAGAATTTCAGGTACTTTTCAGACCAGTACCCGCACCTCACATTTTGCAAACGTAACCTCAGAAGAACCACCAGCAGTTACGCAAGCGTGAATGTCAAACAAAAGTGGTTTTCTGAGATCATCATATATTTTTGCAAGGCAGGCTCATACAAACAGGTGAGGCAATGTGCATGGTGTCAGAGGAGAATTTAAGCTTATTTAATCTCCCAACACAGGCAGATGAGTCCTCACTGAGCCTAATTAGGAGAAAAATCAGCAGGGAGGCACAGATGCTCTATACATATTAAGACAGCCCATGCATGTGCACACTCTTAGATATCCTTCCTTCCTGAAGTTTTGAGGAGTAGGCTCAAGTAGGAGTTCGAGCACTACACCATGCTAATGATCCACCTGTTTCCTAGTATTTTGTAGGATTTTTAAGGGATTATCTATTTAGGATCACAGCTTAACAGCATTTTGAGCTAAAAAGTTTCCTGTATTTCAGTTACCAAGTAATATTGCTGGAAAACTTCATTTTAATTTAACTTAAAGAAGTATTTTTGAAAGAAGAGCCACCTCATACTTTACATGAGAAACAAAAATTCATTTTGCTTGAAAATATCTTAATGGTATTTATTAGAAAAGAAGCTCTCATAATTCAAGAGACTTTTTACATATATGACATAGCAGAAGCCTGGATGTTTGCAAGACACTTGTAGGAACAATTCTTACTTTTTCTTTTCTGGTCTTTAAAGGCAAGTTTACCTTTAGCTTTTCAACAAGACTGTTGATTATTCAGCACTTCACTATGGAAAAACTCTCACTGAAGGCCACAGGCAGTCACCATATGTAGTAACGCTTCACAGTGCTAATTCATATGGAAAAATGCTTAGCTGAATTTGAAGCGGTTGAAAAATAGAGGCATATTGATAACCAAATCATTAAGGGATTTTAAGCTGGATTTTTTTCTCCAGCTGATACTAGACTCTTCTAAAAAAAAACATGTGAGCTACCTATTTGTACCTTAAACACCTTGGTCAAATATCTGCCAGCAGAAACCATGTATCTTAGACACTCAGAAAAAAAGAAGTAATTTCTCATCTCTCACTTTTTTTGCCTGAAAATTTTCTACTGCGGCTTAGGATATTTCTGAACCAACTGTTCATTCCCACTTGCAAACAACATAGCACCCTCAGTTGATGAAACTATCTACAGGGCATCAGTAAAACAGCCCTAATGAAAGAAGGATGAACAGTCTCATTTGAATGGTGAGCATCCGTATGAGCAGCAACTTGGTTCCACAACACCTCTGCTATCTGGACAGCTATGGTGATAATGGTATTTAAAAAATGTGCAGTATCAAAAGCATGAAAGATTTATGCTCAGCAATAAAAGCTCTTCCTCTTCTTATTTCCCTTATGAAAGGCTGTGAATGTTACACAACCAAGGACATTTAGGTGGAGAACAGGTGATAGATATACAATAGGCAGTAGGGATTTAGACAAAATGGCTCCTGTGCAACTACATATTAATACTAATGCTGAAGAAATTATGGCAGCTTCAGAGAATTCATTACAAATTCAATTCTAGCTTCTCAAAAAAATGACAGCATGAAATGTTCGATGTATATTTATACTGAATATGAGAAGGTACTACAGTATAAATATTTGCTGACAAGTAGCTTTAATGTTTCTCTCAAAAACAACCAATCCCCCCAGCCTGCCAGAGACAATGTGCATTTCTGAAATCTCACACATTCAGAGCTACCAAAGCCATATGCTTATTCTGAGGCAAACACAAACACACATGCTTGTTGAGGCTGCCAAGCACCCACACCATAAACAGGATTAACTCCTTGCCTAAAGCATAACAAATCCTACACCATAACTGCACAAACTGATTTCACAAAACCAGTGTCTGTGTAGCTGTACATTTCGTTACTTGCTAGAGAACAATTAAACTAAGAATCAGCACTGACAGAGAAGAGGCCGTCATTCCCAAGACTAAATTGATTATCCAAGAGGAAATCACACTAGTGTTGTCACCCAGCCACACTGCTACTTCCACTGGCATTCCACTTGCAAGACATGATGTTAGTGAAAACTGGTGCTGTTATTATACAATTTTCTTTCTTGCAATACTATCAAAAGCAAGGTTTTAACCAAAACTTAGTAAGTGTTTAATTTCTGCTACCCTTTCCTCACATTTCCTTCACTCTTATCTCTTCCTTCAGCTATAACGTGAGGGACTGTAGATTATAATTTTCCATGTGGCGCTTGATGAGGATTTCCATGGCAGCACACCAGCTTCAAGAAACTGTTCTTCATCCTCCCTTTCTCTGCTGCTCACATTCACCCATGTGCCAGTGCAACTGAGAGGGCAGTACCGCTGTTTGTGCAGCTGCACATACCAGAGAAAGTGATCGAGGCTAAAATATAACCCAGGTTAAAAAAACCCTATTGTAACCCAGATCAGTTCACACATCCAGTTTACCATAAAGACAAAGCCTGTATAAAGCAGAGAGACAGAGATGACTTAAATGCTGTATCTACAGAAAGAATTACTCAAACTGTTCAAAACTGATCACTGAAATGTACCAGCAGAAGCAGCAAATTGGACAGGGACATGTGGCTTGGGCTGGGATTCCTAAAATCAGTCTTGTTGCCAGAAGTCAGAATCATGTGAAACAAAACATGAAGATTACCCAGGACCTGCCTTGGGACTGTGCTTAGGATTCCCACCTTTTGCATGCTGATCTGGACATCTGATTT